TCACCTGCTTTCAGCCTGAGGGATTTCCTTCTCACAATACATTCTCTCAGATTTGTTTTTCTAATAGTGCTTTTATTTTGCTTTAATGTTTGAAAGACAGTTTTGCCAGATATAAGACTCTTGATTGACAGGTTTTCTTTCCTTTCAGCACTTTGAACATGTCACTCCACTGCCTTATGAGTCTGTTTTCATGATGCTAATATAGACAAACCTAAGACTGGGCAAATTACCAAAGAAAGAGGTTTACTGGACTTAACATTTCCACGTGGCTGGGGAGGCCTCACAACCATGGCAGAAGCGGAAAGTCACACCTCATATGGTGTCAGAGAGAGAGAGAGAAGGAGCTTGTGCAGGGAAACTCCTCCTTTTAAAACCATCAGATCTCATAAGACTCATTCACTATCACGAGAACACCATGGGGAAGATATCTGCTCCCATGATTCAATTACCTCCCACCAGGTCCCTCCCATAACACATAGGAATCCAAGATGAGATTTGGGTGGGGAAACAGCCAAACTGTATCAACTGCCCTCTGACTTCCATCATTGCTGAGAAGTCAGCCATTGGTCCTTTTGGGTTCTCATGTACACAACTCGTTCACCCTTTCTGCTTTCAAGATTTGCATCTTGGCTTCAAACATTTGTACACTGATGTGTGCGAGTGTGGATCTCTTTGTATTTATCCGACTTTTGGGATTCACTGAACTTGAGAGATTGACATTTTTAAGCAAATTTGGGAAGTTTACAGCAATTATTTCTTTGAATATTTTTCTGCTCCTTTATCTCTCTTCTTTCCTTCTTTTGCTTTCATTATGCATATACTGGGGTGCTTAAAGGTTTCACATCTTTCTCTGAGGTTCTATTCATTTTTTAAAATCTATTTTTATCTCTGTTTTTAAGATAACATGACTTCTACCAATCTATCTTAAAGTTTGCTGACTTTTCAGTTCAAATCTACTCCTGAGCCCTGCCAGAATTTTTTTTTCCCATTTCAGTGATTTTCAGCTCCAGGATTATCATTAAAAAATAATTTCTATCTCTTCATTGTTTTTTATTTGATGAGACATTGCCATGGTTTCCCTCACTTCTATGAGCACAGCGTTGTTTAGTTTTTTGAACATGTCTGTAATGGCTGCTTTGAAGTCTTTGTCTCCTCAAAATCTAGGCCCTCTTGCTAATCAGAGTCAAATTAAAAAAAAAAAAATCTAAGCCCTCACAAGGCAGCTTTTGTTTCCTGTGTTTTCCTCATGTCTCATTTTTCTGTTTCTTTGAATGTCTTAGCATGTCTATTTTTATTGAAAAATTGGATGTTTTAGGTAATAGTATGAAAACTCTACATGCTGATTCCTCTCCTCCCTGCCTGCAGCTTGGTTTTGTTGTTCTTTGCTTATCTGTTGAGTCACTTGGTTAGACTATTTCAATGAAGCTTATTTCCCCTGCAGTATGAAGCCTCTGGCGTAGCTCCTTGGAGGACTCAGCCTTGGGCATCCTCGCAGCCACCCTGGGTTGTGGTGGTTTTGGTGGGGACACTGGCTGTCTCTTTCCCTGATCCCTCTGTTAAGCCATCTACCTTATGCGGCATCACATCTACCTGTTAAGCTCCATTAATTACCAACTGATTGCTCTATGATTTTCAGTAATGACCTGGGCATACATTTCTTCAATGTCTGGTCCAATTATACTGGAGCAGTGATCGTTTTTTGAGGCCTGTCTTTGAGGTTTGTGTTAGCTCCAGGTGGGCTCTTCTTCTTCCTTTTTTTTTTTTTTTTTTGAGACGGCGTCTTGCTCTGTCACTAGGCTGGAGTGCAATGGCGCGATCTCAGCTCACTGCAACCTCTGCCTCCCGGGTTCAAGTGATTCTCCTGCCTCGGCCTCCTGAGTAGCTGGGACTACAGGTGCATGCCACCACACCCAACTAATTTTTGTATTTTTAGTAGAGATGGGGTTTCACCATGTTGGCCAGGATGGCCTCAATCTCTTGACCTCGTGATCCACCCACCTTGGCCTCCCAAAGTGCTGGGATTACAGACGTGGGCTACCACGCCCAGCCGAGGGCTCTTCTTAGTCATCACCTTGGTTCTCTCTAGAAACCTAGTAGGGCTATGAATTAGCTTGTTGATCATATGCTGAATTTTGTCTCTACCCCCAAATTCAAATGTTGAAGTCCCAACCCCCAGTATATTAGAATATGATTCTATTTGAAGATAGAATCTTTAAAGAGGTGATTAAGTGAAAATGGGGCCATGAGGCTGGGCGTGGGCCCTGTTCCAACGTGTCTGGTGTCCTTACAAGAGGAGGGCGTGGGCCCTGTTCCAACGTGTCTGGTGTCCTTACAAGAGGAGGGCGTGGGCCGTGTTCCAATGTGGCTGGTGTCCTTACAAGAGGAGGAAATTTGGATACGTACAGAGACACGATGAAGGAAGACCACGTGAGGACGTGGTGAGAAGGTGGCTATCCACAAGCCAAGGAGAGAGGCCTCCGAGGCAACCAAAGCTGCCAATGCCTTGAGCTCAGACGTTAGGCCTCAGAACAGTGAGGGAGAAATTTCTGTTGTTTAAGCCCCCAGTCTGTGGTGCTTTGTTCTGGCAGCCCTCACAGACCAATTCATTGCTCCTAATTAAGAGGAACAATCCTTTCAGAGCATGCCTTCAGGCTTGAACTCGCTGTTTCCAATAAAGCCAGTTCCTTTGGGAAGAGCTTCAGAGCAACCTTTTCTTCCCTGGGGACTGTGCTGCTTTCTAGTCTTTTCAGTTTGCTTCTTTTTACAGAGCTGTGTCCGACAGTGGAGCTGGAGAGAGCAATTGGATCCCAGCCTTCTTAGCCCGCTGTTCTTGGCTAGAGCCTCATCCTATGAGTAGGGACTGGCTGGAGGAAGGGGCCTGTCCATGCTCACCAGGAATTTAGCCTCTTCAACTGGGTGCTGCGGTGAGAAATGCTGGCATCTGTCCCTCCTGGTGAGATAAGGGGACCCTTGGGTGGGAGCTGAGGGGAGAGTGAGCCCTGTCTCCTCGGACACAACCACCAAGAGGGGGAAGAGGGGGGCTCTGTCAAGACGAGCTGGAGTGGGGGAAGGAGGGATCCACAGATGATCACTGTTCTTATGGAGTTTTAGCAGACTTTCTTGAATAAATATTTGTCATCTGATGTATGCTGTGGGGACTAAGCTCTGATTTTTTTTTTTTTTTTTTACTCTTGCGCTTCAAATTCCTATCTAAGGGGCCCAGGGAGTCATGCCCTACAAATCATAAATTCTCATCAGATGGGTTTTATTTAGGCCTATATATTGTGACTTACTTTCCAAATCTGATTCGGACATAATATTACAAGACAAGGAAGAAAGTCAAAATATTTTACCCCAAAACATGTTTCTTTGCCATATTTTGAAATGGTCCTGCAAAGCTGTCCTTTGTCGGGGGACGTGTACATCTGTAAAGAATCTCTGTTAACACGGTTAGATCTTTTTCGTCCAGGCCCTCCCAATCCTGAAGAGATGAACTAGAGTCTAGAACCTTTTAAAAATCTAAATAGGAAACATCAGTCACCTATTGACTCTAAGGGCAGCCATAATGAGACTTCAAAAGAACCTTGGTCTCCACTATCTTTTATCTTAACCTGAACATTTCCTTTCTATTGATCCCAGGTCTTCAGACGAACTCAACCAATTGTCAACCAGAAAATGTTTACGTGTACCTAGAGCCTGGAAGCCCTCCCCCTATCCTTTGAGTTGTCCCGCCTTTCTGGGACGAACCAATGTATTTCTTAAACGTATTTGATTGATGTCTCCTGTCTCTCTAAACTGTATAAAACCAAGCTGGCCCCGACTACCTCGCACACAAGTTCTCAGGCCCTCCTGAGGGCCATGTCACGGGCCATGGTCACTCATATTTGGCTCCAAATAAATCTCTTCAAATTTTTTACAGAGTTTTGACTCTTTTCGTTGACAGCTGTTAGCACAACTTCCATTAAAAAAGTGGGTGGTTTTCCCCATTTTGCACGTTTTGCTCAGGTTTCCGGGGGCTCCTCTCCCTGCCACCCCGGGGTGTCCCCAGGCAGTGTTCTCCCTCCATGGCCATTACTCCGTTTGAACCAGTGCCCTCCACAATGTGACATTTTCAGAATAGGAATTTAATCTCATCTTCCCACCCTCCTCACAATCCCTCAACGGTGTCTCCGTGCCCTCAAGAAAGAAGATCCCTTACTGGTCCCGACTGACCAGGCGGAGCTCGGCCCCTTGCTGTGCTCTCAGTCTCAAGCAGCAGTTGCTTCCTGCGCTGCCCCAGCTGGCGGCGCTGAGCCCTGCCCAGCTCACAGCACTGCCGGCCGCAGCCTCTCACCCAGAGCTCCCGCCCTCAGCCTCCAGCCAGAGAAGGACTCCCCGTCTCAGCAGAGCTCAGCTCAGAGGGCACGGACAGGATGCAGAAATCCTTGATTTCTCAGATTAGGCGATGGCTGAATTATAAACACGTGTGAGACCATGCACCTCCACTTCCCAGCGTTCTGTATTTTACAATCATTCTGTGTTTATTTCATTGATCTACTTCCCGGATTAAACTGTATACTCCAAGAGGGCAGTGACTAGAAGAGCTTTACCTTTCCCGGCTTAACTACTGTGCTCCCGGCACGTGCACAGCGCACAGACAGCTGACGGTTTTAAAAGTCGCGGAGGCCCCAGGTGGGAGGGGAGAGGAGGCCCTGGGTGGGAGGGGGTGGGGGGAGGGGGGAGGAGGTCCCTCGGGGGACAAGGTCCCCGGGTGGGAGGGGAGAGGAGGTCCCACAGGGAAGTCCAGGGCCTCAGGTGGAGGTCAGTGGTGGGAGGACAGAGCAGGTCCACCACCCCTAGGTTGTGGAAGCCTAGACGGGAGGGGACAGATCACGTGGCGCCTCTGCGTCCAAAGCTGGCCACCATCCAGTGAAAACCTCAAGCTCACCCGATTCTCCCAGGCCTCAGCGTGGAGCCTCTGAGGGGGGATCCCTCTTCCCTCCCCCTCCCCCTCGACTCACCCGCACTTGGCTCTGCAGCTGCCGGGTCCGCCGCTCCCAGAAGCCCCCCCACCGCCCGCCCCCGGCCGGCATCGCCTCTGCTTCTGGCCTCCTCTCACCGCCCCCAGTAACCGGCGCAGGTGCGGGCGTTGGGGAGCGAGAGAGGGTGGCTCGAGGCGGGAGCCAGGGGCAGGGGGAAGAAGCAGGAAGACCCGGGGGAGGGGGCCGGTGTCCAAGCGTTGAGGAAAGTTTCATCCCTTCTGAATCCCAGGCCTCGCTGGACCACGGCCCCGCCTGGTTCTCCTGTAACTTGCGCAGCTCCTGGACCGGCGCTTCCCAGAGGCGCGGCGCTGAGTCCCGGAAGCAGGACCTGAACCCGGAAGAGGAGGGGCAAGCAGCTTCCTGCCTCCTCCTCCCCGCACACCGCGGGGGGAACGGCCCCACTGCCGCCTCCCCGCACCCTGCGGGGGGAACGGCCCCACTGCCTCCTCCTCCCGGCACCCTGCGGGGGGAACGGCCCCACTGCCTCCTCCTCCCCGCACCCTGCGGGGGGAACGACCCCACTGCCGCCTCCTCCCCGCACACTGCGGGGGCAATGGCCCCACTGCCTCCTCCTCGCCTTCCCGCACACCGCGGGGTAATGGCCCTACTGTTTCCTCCTCCCACACTGGTGGGGGAAGGGTCTTGAGCAGCTTCTTCTTCTGTATAATAAATGGCTCGATTGTTGCCTCCTCCCCACACTGCGGGGGAATGGCCCCACTGCCGCCTCCTCCCGCACACCGCGGGGAATGGGCGGCCCCACTGCCGCCTCCTCCCCGCACACTGCGGGGGGAATGGCCCCCATATTTTAATGTAGTGGCTTCTCTGGTCACTCACAATCCAGCACTAGCACACAGCAGTCGGGGAAGTCCCGTGGGTGTGAGACACCCTGTATTTTGAAGGCTCTACATGAAAAAGATTGTAGAGAACCTGAATGCATTTTATGTGTAGATTGCATGTTGAAATGATGCTGTTGGGATATATTAGGCAAAATAAAATGTATCACAATTTATTATGCCTCCTTCTACTTTTTTCACGTGACTCCTAGAAAACGGACGGTCTCTGGAGGGGCTGGTGTCAGGTCTCGAGGGGACTGAGCTGCTCTGGGCCCCTCCTGTGTCACAGACTGTGGCCAAAGGCTCCAGGAGTGTCGGTGGCAGTGCTTAGGGAGGCTTTGTCTCTTGTTGCAGCGTGTTTGTAATACATCACGTCCGTATCACTGACTTGGTTTCCAAACTTATTTACACAGCAGCTGTTGGCTAGGCATGCACACAGGCCAGGACAACAGTGGCGAAAAGGCTTGCGCAGCTTCCCAGGTCACAGCCCGGCAGGGGTGACAGGACACGGTATGCGACGTGATCGCGGCGACCATGCGGCATGTTGGTTAGGAACGTGGACACCCGCTTCTCCTGGCACCAGTGGCAAGGACGCCCTCCCTGACCAGACCCTGGGCTTCTCCACGCCCTTTTTCAGCTCAGCCTCAGGTCTGCATCGCCATGAGAATCCCCCACGCCTGCGTCCAACATCTGATCAGTTCCGTGTCCCCTGCCATCCCCCAGGTGATGCTGGGTTCCACAGCCCTGACTTTAGCAAGACTCCCCATGGGTCAGTTTAGCCCGAGTGCCCTCCAGCCCTGCTGTGGCCTCTCAGTGACCCTCTTTCCATCAACCTCTAACCTGCTCCTTGGCTGCTGATTCCACTTGCCTTGCTGTATGCAGAGTGCAGTCCAGCTCTAAACTGAGGTGTTTTCTTCCCCCTATTACAAAGTTCTGGAATACAACCTGCTTTACCACTTTAATGACTGGCTCTGCCCAAGTCATTGGAAATCCTGCCAAGAGGTGTGACAAATTTGCTTCTACCAGAGACAGCCAGAGGCCCCGTGTATGTACACAAGTCAGCCCCGCAAATGGTGTCCTCAGGAGCAAAGAATATTCAGGGCGGCCCATGTCCAGTGCTGCCTGAGAAACGCCTCTTAGAATGTGAGGCTGAGCCAACTTCCCCCTGGAAGGCACTTGCTCTTCTGAATACATGGAACTGGTTGTGGTACCAAGACTCCCCGTGCACGCCCTTGCAATCCAGTCGGCCTTGCACTCTCCTCTTCCTTCATTTCCTATTTTTGTTTGTGTTCCACCAATTCCTTTTCTTGTCTTGCAACAAGAATTCTTCTTCAGAGAGATGTGATCAAATCATTTGTAGACTGCAGCAACCAGCTGTCTTTGAATAATCCTTCTACTGTACTGAAGATAGCACTCCTCCATGCTTTCTTGCATGGAAAGCTAATTTCAGAAAGTTATATTTAGTAACACTAAGCAAGACATAAACTGGACGACTTGTAGGAGGGAAAGTATATGCAAAAAGTGAATTTTTAATTCCACAATTTCATCCAGTTTATTCCAAAAAGTCACATAACCGCAAAAGATACAAACTAGACTTCAGATTGAGAATAGAAGCCAATTTCTTGTGTAATTTACCCAACAAATATTTATGGGTGCCTAGTCTGCAATGGGTGACATATAATAAAACAACTAGAAAGAAAGAGAAATAAACACCTCACATCACTGGAAGGAGAGGCTGCTTCATTTAAATAAGCCACTCTGTGTCCACAAAGACTTAAGAGGGCTCTGGACAGTCTCTGAATCGATGTCAGTGATTTTCCAATATTTAGGTAATGGCAGTTATGGAAATCAGACAAACCCGAAGTCCCGAGACTCCCTAGTTGTGCTTCGCCTGTTCAGAACATGGTACGTATTTTGCTCAACTGAGCTAGGCTGTTTTTATATTTTGGGATCTATTCTCATACAAAAAAGACTGACAGGAGGAAGGTGAACATTTTTAAAGCCATACAATTCACCTACAGTTTCCCAGGTCTCTCTTTGGGGTTAGATTACTTAATATTTTATAAGCATTTTGAAAAGTTCCAAGTTAAAGTTGGAACCACTGTCTCCAATTTAGCATTCATTTAAGTCTGTAGTCTCTTTATAAAAGAATAAAACATAAGATTTAGAAGAGCAGAGAAAAATAAGATCTAACCCACTGAAGACATGTGAAGGTAGTTTTCAATCTGAAAGCCGTGGTGACCAATTTCTGTTTGACAGCCAAGTTGAGTTTTGTGCTCTTTCCTAGTCTGTTCTTTCGCATCTTTCTAACTATGCAAACAACTCTAGAGCTTACCTGGGCCCACCCGAGCCCATGCCTCCACGCTCTCCTATCTGGGTGGCCACACCACCATCCAGTTCCTCAAAGCCTCCAACTCCTGCAGAGGCCTGCTCCGGGCTTCCATTCCTCCCCTCCCCCATGCCAGCAACCAGAACGACTGACGTCACCTGGGTGGCCCCAGCCCCTCCTCGAAACCCTGCAGAGGCTTTGCACTGCGCGAAGAAGACAAGTCACACTTCTTGCCATGGTCTTAGAAAATGCTTTTACCACTGGATAGCGCCAGGTGGCCCCTGGCTCTCTCCAGCCCCTGCCTGCACCCTCCTGTCCTGGGGCTCTGGCTCTGGGCTCTCCTGATCTTCCAGAGGCTCCAGCTTGCCTGCCTCAGACTTCTTCCCTCTGCAAGGCTTCTTAAGAGCATCATTTTCTCAAAACAGCCTACTGTCTCCACAGGAACTTTATTAGGCCTCCAGGTGTCCCCTGCACTTTACAGTTAACAGTTACTATGGATCAGCACATGTAAATGAAACATGTGCTTCTGCCTCTTGGAGTGATGCTCCCTGGGGGCAGAGCTGCACTGTTTCAGGAGGGCAGGTAAGCGCTGTGAGACCAGTCACCGAGGCAAAGGAGGCACCCGTAGGCTCCCATAAACACTTGCTGAATTACACAAGAAACTGGCTTCAATTCCCAGTCTCAAGTCTAGTTATGTCTCTTTTGAGGTTATGTGATTTTTAGAATAAACTGGATGAAATACTGGAAATAATAGAACTATCACTTTTTGTACATTCTTTCCCTCCTGCAAGTCATTCAAATTAAATTTTGCTTAATGTTTACTAAATATAACTAAATCTTTGAAATCAGTTTTCCATTCAATAAAGGATAAAGGAAATTGTGTCCAACGGCGCACACCAGAAAATTATCAAGTGCTTGCTGGTCCGTGTGATAGAAGACCACGGCAGGGCAGTATCATTACTTCCACTGACAGCAACAGAAACACAGGCCTTGAGAAGAAAACGGAATCTGTATTAATACTCAGACTTCCTAAGTTTTTGTATTCTCAAACATTAAAGTATCTTTTTAAGCATTAAAATATAGTAAAAGTGAATACTATAGTTTCAATACATAAACATCTTGTTCTATCAAAAAGGTCTCCAGAACTTTCTACAACCCTAAGACACTCCTTCCTTCATGAACCTCATTTTTACAATATATGGACTACAGTCACCCTGCTGTGCAGCAAACGGATCTCAAAACCTGTTCCTCCTATCTGAAACTTTGTATCCTTCAACCAACAACTCCCCATCCCTTTCTCCCCCCATGAAAGCCCTAAAAATTCTCCATCCCTGCCCTGTCCCGGCCTCCTGCTCATAGGCCATTAAAAGGTACACTGGAAATAGGCAGAGGCAGGAGGAACAATGGCGCAGAGGCAGCGCTGAGCCCCGTCCACATGGAAGGTCCCGCCCGCACATGCCTCCCGCAGCTCACAGGTCCTCATAATGTGGCTTGTGCAGTTTTACAATCAAACATACCCTTTTACACGAGGCTGTCCTGAGTGGGTTCCTGCACTAAGACACATCTCACCAGGATGCCTTATGTACACCATTTACTTATTACTGGGGATATTTTAGGAATTTCAAAGAGGCCACCAAGAGACAGTGTCACTGAGAAATGGCTTGAATGCCCACCTGAGCTTGCTTGGATCAAGGAAGAATCAGGAAGGCCCGGGCAGTGGAACGGCTTATGAGACTCACAGACACCTGTGTGACGAGGCACACGACACGCCCCCACAAATGAAAACCACTGCCTGACACAGAAATCATACTCAGTGTTTAATGAAGAATAGAAAGATGGAAAGAGATGGGCGAGGAAGGCTGATGTTACAAATATAAACTTTGTCAGCACTTTC